TCAGAGTCTAGGCAGGATGCAGCTGGGCCTGCTGCTTACGGTCTCACAAGGCCGAAGTCACAAGCAGCCATTATGGTTTTCACCTGAGGGCGGGGTCTTCTTCCAAGCTCAGTGGCTGTTGTCAGAATTCATTTCTTTATGTGACTCATTTGTCACCCAGAGGTCCCTGTCAACTCAGAGAGGCCACTCTTCACTCTAACTCCGGTCAGATCCAACTCCAAAGTCAGCCACAGGCAGTCGCTCTCAGGTTGAATCTCCGTCTTCAAGAAGAGTTCACCTTGTAAGGCCTCGCCTGCAAGTTCAAACTCACCCAGAACAACCTCCCTTTCTTAACACCCATTGTGCCCAACACATAATCCAGTCACGGTCATGACTGATTATCCCATCACATTTGCAGCTTCCGCCACACAGAAAGGAAAGGAATTTGATCAGGCATTCACATCCGGAGGCAACATTGGTGGAGGCCATCTCAGAATCCCACTTACCGTATTCTGCCCTCAGGCTGCCAGTAATCCATGGGCCTCCCAAATGTGAAATACATTAACCTCTCCTGGGTCTCCTGAAGTCTTAACCGACTCCAGTATCCCTTCTAAATCTCATTAGCTCGAAATCCAAATTCTCCTCACCCGCATACCACATTACAGGGCTCCTCGAACTTTCTTAGAAGACAACCATGTCCTTTTATTTATTTAAAGGAAGCACAGGGATCTGACATTTACAGCCACTCAAGTGGAAGGACTGGGTGCTAACCAGCTTTTCAACTAACTTCCCTGACAGGACGTTAGGAAGCACCTCGAAGGCTATCTAACCATATCTGCAGAATCCCCTCCATCCCAACAGAGAAATAAAGAGGAAGTATTATTGTCGTCATCGCATTCTACTTATTTATAGTGTATATTCTTAGTCCTATATATTACTAATTTCTTTCCCATCTCCTCGACCTCTCTTAAAATAAGAGGAACACAGCGTTAGCTCCCAGCTCCCAGGACACATATGAGCTAAATTTCCACCCAATGACGCCTGCCCCCAGCCTCACCCGCTATGGGCATTTGCATCTTGTCGGGGTGGACTTTTCTTATTTGGGTCCTGATTTTCTTAGCTTTCTGTTTGCTGTCGGGAACAATATTTCTCTGTGCAATGGGCATTTTAGCAATTCTATTAAGACTCAGGATCAGGCAGTTATTCTGTGTGGGCTGAGCATGTGTCCTGGTCTACTTCGTGGGAATGAGATACCAAAAGCATTTTAGTTTTCACAGCGATCCCACTGCCACTCCAATTGTCATTTACTTTTCAGCACTGCTGTTCCCATTCTGCTCCCAACTGGTGTCATCCACTCAAAGAGGGAAGACACTTCCCTGAGCCAGCTGGGGCTGTTGGATGGCTGTTGGGATCAGTCGGCCTGGAGGAAGGAAGATGTCAGCTTGGACTTCTCCCAGGCCACTCAGGGCTGGAGGGCTTCTTCCTTATTATCACCTACCTGGGATGTCTCCCACTGCTGGAGATGAGTGGTGAGGAAATGCTAGGCCTTCCTCTCTGCCTTCCTCTGGGTGAGAAGAGACATGGGCCCGAGTGTGCAGCTGCGTGGGGGAGAGGGAGCAGGGCCCCCTAACAAGGCAGGGTTGCTCAGTAGGGATAGTGTTCCCGCCGGCTGCCCCCTTTTTATGTTTGCATCTCCATTTTCATTTTATCTATCAGTGCTAAATCTGTGCAATAGAAGGATTTATCAAGTGTCCAAGTTCCAGAGTCACTTTGGCCAGAAATCCTTCATAATCATTTGTTCCATGAGTGAAGTTTTGTCTTTTTATTGTGACATCATTTCCATTAGAGCTTTTTTTCCCCTTAGAGGAATCCTGCAAGGATTCACTGCAGGCCAGTGACTCCGTTTCTTCTGTGATCGTCCCCAGATATGTCATGATCCTAGACTGGTTATTTCTTACTTTGGTATCACCGCAGAAATAGGAAGTCAAATTCTTATCATTTCCTTTCCTTAATAGGACAAATATTTTCATTAATGAGTAAGGCAAAGTGAAACCACAAAGATGTTTAAAACTTTGCTTGTGCGTTAGTGGTGTGAGGAACTTCTCTGAATTAGGCATAAGTTTTCCAATATTGGAAGGTTGTTTTCTTGCGTTTTGTACTATTCACAACGTAGTCCCTTTTACATTTAATTTGTAAACTTCAAACAGTGAGCCTACCACCTGTTTTACAAATAAAACTTCTCACTGCAACGCAGCCCTGCTCTTTTATTTAAATGTTGTCTATGGCAGCTACAGTTCAACAACAGCAGAAATAAATGATTGTGACTGCTTGTGTGGCATAAACACCTGAGATAGTTTCTGTTACCTTGAGGAGAAAAATTAGTCAATCTCTGATGTAAGAATCAAAATGATGTCAAGTTCTGATTCACGGCATTTGCTGGTTTCCATAGAATAAACGGCTGCTGCCGGTTCCCAACATCACGTCATTAAATGTGGAATTGGGAAGAGATGCACAGAAACTCACCTTCGCACAGCGTGTCCAATGCTCACCTGCCATACATTTAAGTAATTACAAAGCATCTATAATAGTGATGGGTAGAAAAATGATTAGGAAATGAAGAATTTTTAGTATTTCTGTTTTAAATATTAACAGTCAGTTTAAATAATTTAAATAATGGCTCTGCTTAACAACTGATTTGTAAAATTTATGGAACAATTGGCTCTTGCGAGCTTGTATGACCTGCCTGAAACCCAGACGTGTGTGAATAACTCCAGCTTCCAGAGCGCTGTGTCCTCCT